TTAAAAGAGATAGTAACTGTAAAGTGCTTAGCCCAGGCACATAGTAGCTACTATACAAATGCTTATTTCCTTCCTTCCAAAATGGTGTGTGAATTTGTACAAACATAGTTATTTACATGTTGTCTCCTATTAGAATGTGAGCTATTTGATTGCAGAGGCTGTGTTTTTGCCTTTCTTTGTATGCCCAGAGCTTATCATACTCCCTGGCACATAATATGCACTTAAATATTTGTTTACTGTAACTATACTGGCAACCACCTATTCAGTCTACGTATAACATCAGCTCTATGCTTCCACTTCCTTACAGAACAACATACTCTTCTTTGTTAAATTTGATATCTGCTTGCAACTTTTAACCTCAAGGCTGAACATGTCACCAGCTTGTTTTAGAGGCACAAAAAGGTACTATATTCTCTGCACTATCCTTCCCTTTTCAGTTTCTTAGACATCAATTTATTTCCTGTTTCACAAACTTAGATATGACAGGTCTAAAGCTTGATTAATTCTCAACATCTCCTCAGAATCATTCCAGGAAAAGATCTGAACAGTATCTAATATCCCCAAACTTCAGGATGTTGCAATATAGTAGTTTTAAATTTTACTTTGCAATTACAATTTTTTTCCCCTTATTGTTAACTGTCTATTATTTAGGAACTGATTATTTGCTTTGTGAATTCTTATTGCTGTATTGTCTGGTTCTTGCCCCTGACCTTTGACCATTTTGCTCTTCATTTGGGCTTACATGTACCTACCTAAGCATCAGGAAACCAAGGACAAGGAACAAGAAGAGGAAGTGAAATTCATATCAGTCGACTTGCCACACATTTGCAGCTCTGATAAAATTTGGACAGAAGAGGAAGTTGACTATTGGTTGACTTAAAAAAAAGTATTTGTAGTATTTAAAGTATAATTTGTTTTAAATTGTTTTCTATTACCACAGACAAATAGAAGTTGGTTATCTGCGAGGACAAGGAAGGGAAGACTTAATGAATCCAGCAGTCCAAAGTCTTTTTTTTTTCTCCTAATGAATGCAGTTAAAATTTTTTCTCCTCTACAACACATAGTATTCCTCTGAAATTAACAGCATTCCAGTTTTGTTTTTAAAAGGCAACAGTTACTTTAAGTTCCCAAAGTTTGCTTTGCTCTTTCTTAATTTAGATCTTTCCACTTATTAATATCTGCAAAAACAAGATTTTGGAAATAGTAACTTTTCTTCCAACCAAGCTGACAACCTGGTTTTACTGTCAATGAAGTACCCCATTGCCAAATCAGTCTCAGTGTGTCATCATCTTCAGGCCGGAAATTTGACAGTGGAACTGGAAGATTTATAAATGGCCCTGGAGATGACTGAAAATGAGAACCAGCTGGGTGGACAGATGAACGGAATTAACATTTTTCACTAATGTCTTCGTATGGATTGTTGCCATTTTCTCCTCTGTTCAGACTAGGGCTACTGTATCATGAGACATCTCTGACAAAGCCAAATGAATCCATTCTTAAGACTGGCTCCACTTGGTCTGGTCTGCCTTGTGCTAAAGGCAGGATAGAAAGGATGTGTGTGTGTGTGTGTGTGTGTGTGTGTGTGTGTGTACACTTGCTCTAGCGTGCCCATGTGTAACTGACTGAGGGTGTGGCCAGGTTTGTAGCCAGAGTGGGGAGGGGTGGGGAAGTGAATCAGTGTTAGAACAGATTGGGGTATGGGAAGAGCTGTATTTCCACTTTCAAGTTTCGTTTTTACTACTTCCCCAAAGCTACTGCCTTGTATAACTCTGCTGAATGCTGGAGGGGGAGTCAGAGGACCTGGGTTTGAATCCCAGCTCTGCCACTTACTAGCCTTATGACCCTGGGAGAGACACATCTCTTTTGGCATCAGTTTCCTAATTTGAACTGAGGGTGTTGGATTAGATGATATCTGAAGTTCTTTCTAACATTAAACCTATGATCCTTTGATGGGTAGCACTTTTCTCATGGGACAGCTAGGGGGTCCAGGGTCTGGGGCACTGGACCTGGTATAAGGAAGACCTAAGGTCAAATCTAGCCTCAGACACTTACTAGCAGTGTGACCCTGGACAAGTGACTTAATTTCTGCTTGCCTCAATTTCCTCATCTGTAAAATAGGAATAATAATAGCACCTACCTCCCAGGATTGTTGTGAGGATCAAATAAGATAATTCTGAAGTGCTTAGCATGGTGCTCAGCACACAGTAAGCATCATATAAATGTTGTTGTTTAGTCATTTTTAGTTGTGTCCAACCCTTCATGACCCCATTTGGGGTTTTCTTAGCAAAGATATTGGAATGATTTGCCATTTCCTTCTCCAGCTCATTTTACAGATGAGGAAACTAAGGAAAACAGGGTTTGCCCAGGGTCACACAACTAGTAAGTGTCTTGAGGCTAGATCTGAACCCTGGTCTTCCTGACTCCAGGCCTGGCATCTATCTACTGTGCCAACTACTTGCCCCATATAAATGTTAGTTGTTATTATTATTAGTTAAAAGCATGGCCAATTTGACCAATAGGAAGCAGAAATCATCATTGTCATTGACAAAGGGCTCTGACAGGTCTTCCCCAAAACATTTAATATTTAAACCATTGTAGATGGGGAAAAAAAACAATATTTTCTCTTACTGATGGTTTTGTGTTGTCATCATGTATCTACATTAAATCAATGTAAATATTTCAAAGAAAATAGTACTAGTACTACTTTCAATTAGAACATAAATAACATAATGATGAGTCAGTCTTTCTATATCCTTGGAGAAAGGACACACTTAATTTTAAGTGCTATTTAGAATGTGCCTGAAGGACTGCTGGTTGGTTATCCCAGTCTATATTCCAGAAAATGGAGGAATCTTTACAGATTCCTAGTTATAGATATCACACTACAACCATAGGAAATGTAGGAATCTATAGATTGCTAGTTATAGATAACTTCATTTTTCTTTTTCTGGCAATCAGGAGCAAGATATTTCATAGGATTGTAGCTCTGGAGTTAGAAGTGACTGAATCTTTCTCTGGGAGAAAGATCAGTGAATTTGGAGATGAAGATTTCAGTCTCCATATCTATAATTCTATAGATATAAAATGTCACATAAATATGTAACATACACACATATTAAAGGCTAATTTGGAGGAAATAATATTAAGCCATATAATCTTAGTATTTCTCATCAGACCCAAAAGACATGAAGTATCCAATTAATGATAAGTCTAATGAAACAAAATCAAACACTCAAGTATATATTGTATTAGAAAAACATCCATAACTATACTTTTAGGCTGTATTTTCAGAATTACCTAAATTTCACTTCTAACCTAGGACTATGGTTTGCTACAAAGGTTGGGTGGGGTGGAGAGGGGGAGAATACTGATGGACTATTTTTCCTCAGATAATTAGTACCACTAATGGAATTTTAGAGAATGCTAAAAGTGCCATGAGAGTTCCGATCTGTAAAGTAATATTGCCACAGCAATGCATGCTTTGGTGGCATTGCTTCTCCTTGCTTCTGACACTTATAGTTCAACTTTTTTTTCCCCCACTTCCTCTCTGGAGGGATGACAAGGGAAAGAAAAATGAACATTTTCCTCTTTTGGTCTCTGGAGCTATCACCTACGGTAGTATGCTGTATTGGGAAGAGTGCTAAACTTGGAGTCAGGAGACTTGGGTATGATACTTACTATGCAATCCTGGTCAAGCCACTTCTATAAAATGGAAATAATCCTTGCATTATCCACCCTCATAAGGTTCTTGAAGAAGGAGATTTGCAAAGCATAAATGCAAGTTTATATGTGACTTTGGCAAATAAAAGGTATTCTATAAATGCATGCTGATTACTATAAACAAATGGTTCTCCCCCCCATTAGATTATATGCTCCATGAGGGCAGGAAATGGGGTGAAGAGCTAATTTAAGGTCAAAGAGGCATAAAGTAAAGAATACTAAGTCAGCTTCAGGTTCTGTGGCTTTATGACCTTGCATAACTCACTAAACCACTAAGCTTATTTCCTCTTCTATCAAATAGAAATATTAGTACTTACCCTGCCCATATATTAGGGTTGTAAGAATGTTGCAAGAATGTTGTAAGAATTTCATATGCCATGAAAGTGCTTTGAAAAGGTGTGCATATTCCTTGGAGAAGGTTGAAAGAAAAGGTGCTCTCCAAGGTCCTTTTCCCTTCTTAGAGGATTCCACAGAACTATAAGATTTAGAACTGAAAGAGATCTTACTCATCATATGATCCAACCCCTTCATTTTACAGTGGAGGAAACACAGGCCCAGAAAAAAGGATAATAATAGTGCAAAGGATAATACTAGTAGGCAAAGAACTTCACATATGTCATTCATTTTCTCCTTAACAACCCTGGAGGGGTTTTTCCCATTTTACAAAAGAGGTGCTATTATTATCCTTATTTTACAAATGGGGCAACTGAGGCAGAAAGAGGTTATGTGCCTTGCCCAGTGTCTCAGGGCACTTTTGAACTCCTGTCTTCCTGACTCCGGGTCTGTGCTAGACAGGCATGACTCAGCTGGGATGAGATTTGCCCAAAGTAAAAAAGGTAAAATTAATCGGTAGAGCTGAGAATGGAACAAAGGTGTCCAGCCTTTCAATGCCCTCTCCATCCTCTCCTTGATTTGTAAATGTCAGGATTTGAGTCCAGGGACCTTGATTCAAACCCAGGCCTGTGTCATCAGCCCCCTGTATGACCTTGGGAAAATCTTTTAACCTCTCTGAGACTCAGTTTCATCACCAGTAAAATGAGATATTATTACTTATTAAAACTGGATTAAACTGGCCTCTAAGGTCCCTCCCTGTCTTAAATTCTAGGCTCCTAAAGGGAGTTACTAAAATTAACGTGTGCGAGAGGCCAGCGCGGGCGCCTCTGGGAATTAAAGCACCGGACCGCGCAGGCGCGCTCCCCTCCCAGGGCTGGTGATGTCATGCGTGACTCCTGGCAGCTCCGGAACCAAGTGACGGAACTCCGTAGCTAGCCGGATGGAAGGGAGCGCACACGGAAGAGGTGGGAGGAAGAGAGAAATGTTGTTCAGCACGGAGAACGCGTGATTTCCGGTCCGTTTCTTCATTCGCCGCGGCGATGTTCTCCCGCTTCTCGGCTCTCGGGCCCAGCCGCCCCCTCCTCCTCCGTCTTCCCTGCATCCCCTGTGGCTCCGAAGCGGCGATGGAGATTCGGGGACTGTGGCCCCTTCCTGGCCCGGCCAGGTACCGCCCTGCTCTCTCCCTCCGCTCCCCGCACCCCGGAGCCCGGGGGTCACCCTGGCAACCGCGCGCGTCTCATGCCCCGCCCCCGTGACCTTTGCCCTCGGAGCCCTCTCCTCGCCACCTTCTCTGCGATCCTTTGCTCGGACCTAACCTTGGGCTCTCTGTCCCCGAGCCCCGGCCCTCCCTTCGGACGGCGTGCCGGCCTCCTCGCTGCCTGCGGGGTTTGGTGGCTAAAACACACCCTTCCCCCCCCAACCCCCCATGGTTTTCCTGTAGTATAAAGGGGAGGCTAGTGCATTGTGTAATATTAATAATTAAATTAGCTGTAAAGAATCACATTAGGTCCTTGGTGGAATAATAAATCCCATTCTAATTCCTTTTTGCAAGTAGCTAACCAACGTTTGTTGAATTTAATCCTCAGTAACCTTACTACGCCAAGCCTTTATTTTTAACTTCCTGTTCTTCCCAACCCCGTTCAAGGCTTTTTTATCATACAGTGGATAGAGTTCTGGGCCTGGAGACAGGAAGATGCGAGTTCAAATCTTGCCTCTGACTCAGGACAAGTCATTTAGCCCTGTTTGCTTCAGATGATCTGAAGAAGGAAATGCCATTTCAGTATCATTGCCAAGAAAATCCCAAAATGGGGTCAGAGAGTCAGACAGGACTGAAAAACTATTGAACAACAAATCCCCCTAATCATATTCTGTATTCCAGCTGAACTTGATGGTCTTGTTGTATCCCCTTCCTTAGTGCATGTGTTTTATTGTCATAGCTGGAAGGTTTCCATTCCCATTCAGATATCATCTCCTTCATAAATAGTAATGATAACCAACATTCATTCACATAGTGATTTCTATATGTTGTTTCATTTGGTCCTTACAACAACTGTGTGATGTAGATGCTGTTATCCCCATTTTACAGGTGAAAAAACTGGCACATGACCTTCCTCAACATTGTCTCCCCACCAAAGTGAGCTCTCCCTCCAATTTCACATAATTTTTTGCATTTAGCTCATTCTTCTTGGATGTCATTCTGGACATCTTAGTTATTTGTTGTACTCATTCTTCTAACTATCAGGGGTTGAGGCAGGTTCCCCACCTCTGGACTAGATTGGAAACTCCTTAGGAGTAGGTTTTTGTCATATCTTTAGTACCTATGTTATATCTTTAGTGCATAATACTATTTCCCTGCATATAGTAATGTTTGAAGGAATGAATACAAAAACGAATAATGAGCTTCCCACCCTCATTGGGGAGAGAAGACTGGTATACTGGCAAGTATAGAAGTACAAACAAAGTATGGCAGGAAATACCAGAGTTCTCATTGAGGGGAAACCAGAGAAAGCTTTATGGAAAAGTTAGCATCTAAGCCTAAAAGAATGGAAATGGGAGAAATGGGGGTATGCATTTCAGCCATGTGACCAAAGTTATGGAAGTGGAAAAGACCTGCATGACTTTTTTGATTAGTGAGTTTTTCCATTTGACTGAAGCATAACATATGTAGAAATAAGGCTGAAAAACCTATCAAAAGCCATATGAAAATGTGCTCTAGATAAAAAAGTTAGAGAAATGTGCATTTAATGCAGATCAAAACGACTATGAGGTATCCCATCACACCTATCAGATTGGCTAACATGACAAAATAGGAAAATGATAAGTGTTGGAGATGTGGGGAAAATGGGAACACTAATACATTGTTGGTAGAGTTGTAAACTGATCCAACCATTCTGGAGAGCAGTTTGGAACTATGCCTAAAGGACTCTAAAACTGTGTACACCCTTTGACCCAGCAATACCACTTCTAGGTCAGTATCCCAAAGAGATCATAAAAATGGGAAAACAACCCACATGTACAAAAATATAGCAGCTCTTTTTGTGGTGGCCAAGAATTGGAAATTGAGGGATTGCCCATCAATTGGGGAATGGCTGAACAAGTTGTGGTATATGAATGTAATGGAATACTATTGTTCTGTAAGAAATGGTGAGCAGGCAGATTTCAGAAAAACCTGGAAAGACTTACATGAACTGGGGCAGCTAGGTGGCACAGTAGATAGAGCATCTGCCCTGGAGTCAGGAGGAGCTGAGTTCAAATCCAGCCTCAGACACTAGCTGTGTGATTCTGGGTAAGTCACTGAACCCCAATTGACTCACCCCCCCCCAAAAAAAAGACTGACGTGAACTGATACTGATTGAAGTGAGGAGAACATTGTATACAGTAACAGCAACATTGTACTATGACCAGCCTCAATAGACTTAGCTCTTCTTAGCAATGCAGGGACCTAAGACAACTCCAAAAGACTTATGATGGAAATACTGTCCACATCCAGAAAAATAACTATGGAGTCTCAATATAGATCAAAGTATACTATTTGCTCTCTCTCTCTCTTTCTTTCTTTTTTTTTTTTGGTTTCTTCTTTCTCATGGTTCCTCCCATTGGTTCTAATTCTTCTTTACAACACGACTAATGTGAAAATATGTTTAATATAAATGTATATGTAGAGCTTAGACTGCATGCCATCTGGGGGAGGGGAGAGAGGGAGAGAAAATTTAGAACTCAAAATTTTATGGAAGTGAATGTTGAAAACTAAAAATAAGTAAAAAGGGGGGAAAAAGAAATGTATATTTAAGCAACTCTGAGGTTGCAAAAATAAGAGCTATTGGGCTGCTGGAAAACAGACATATTAACGTACTAGTAGTGGAGCTGTGGATTGGTATACCCATTCTGGAAAGCAATTTGAAACTAAGTCCCAAAAGTCGTTAAACTGCATATGCATTAACCCAACCATACCACAGCTAGGTCTGTACTCTCACGAAATCAAATAAATACAATGGCAAAGAACTGGAAACTGAGGGAGTGCCCACCAACTGGGGAATGGCTAAACAAATTATGGTATATGAATGTGATAGAATATTATCATGCTGCAAAAAATAATGGAGATAGTTTCAGACAAACCTGGGAAGACATGTATGAAATAATGCAGAGTGAAGTGAGAAGAACCAGAAGAACACCATATATAGTGATAAAATTGTCGTGCCAAACAACTTTGAAAGATTTAAGAACTCTGAACACAGTGGCCATCCATCATTCCAGAAGACTAATGAGGAGCCATACCACCCATCTTCTGACAGAGTAGTGATGGATTCAAGAGGCAGAATAAGACATACTTTTGGCCTCTATATATAATTTATTACAAAAGGTTTTTTTTTTCCTCCCCTACTGGGGAAGGGGGAAGTGTAAGGGAGAGAAAATAGATATATGTTAATTGAAAAATAAATGAGAAAAATTTTAAAATACTAGAAATGTAGGTTGGTATCAAATAAGGCTAGAAATTGTTGAATGCCAACTGCTTTTAGTAGGTTTTAGGGAGCTATTGAAGTTTTTTGGGGGGGAGGGTTTTATCCTAAAGAGATCTATGCATGAGAAAGATAACTGCTGGTTGGTATATGGGATTGGTTAGAACAGGAAAACACAGTGTCAGGAAAATCAGTTAGAAGTCTGTTGAAGGAGTCAATGTAAAAGATGCAGAGGGTAGGATAGGAATGTAGTGGGAATGGAAAGGAAAAGGATAGACAGGAGAGATATTTCCAAGACAGAATCAGTGTGACTTAACATGTGATTAGATGTGAGGAATCAAAGATGATTAAAGCTTCAGACCCAGGAGAATGGTAGTGCTATTGACAGGTAAAGGTGGTGCTATTAAATGGTAAAATTTTGAGGGGGGAAAAGCTCTGATTTTGACTAAAAAGCATAAATTCAAAGTCCTGAGTACCATTAAGAGTAGCAAATAGGTGTAAACTCTTGGATTACCTTCATATAATATACATTTCTTTTTTCTTTTCTTTCCTCTTCAAAATTTCTGTCCTAGGACAGAATACAAAATCCAAAGGTGTTTTGGCACAAACAGTGTGATCTACAGCAAGAAAGATGAGTCTTCTGTTCCTGTTGCAAAGATTTCTGACAGTGTTCCAGAGAGCCAGGATAATGAAAAGAAAAAGGCAAAGAAGAACTTGTTGGATGTTATAAGGGGCATGAAAGTTGAATTAAGTACATCAGACATATTACAGGACACAAAAACTCAGGCAACCAAGACACAAAAGGAAGAACTTAAAAATTTGGGGAGGACAATTAGAGTGAGCCAGACAGCTGTGGAAGATTCTTCACCTGAGAGGTAAATTGAATTTTCATCTGAATGTTCTTTGAAGTGATGGTTTTTTTTTTAATTAATTAATTAATTAATTTTTTTTTTTTTGGCTAAGCAGTGGGGTCACAGAGCTAGTGCATATCAAGTGTCTGAGGCTGGATTTGAACTCAGGTCCTCCTGACTCCAGGGCCAGTGCTCTATCCGCTGTGCCACCTAGCTGCCCCTGATGTGATGGTTTTGATATGCCATTTTTTTCCTTTGAATTTGTGCTGTTTAAATTTGAGCTTTTTTAACTCAGGTCCTCCTAACTCCAGGGCTGGTACTTGATCCACCATGCCGCCTAGATGCCCTAAATTTGAGCTTTTTAATAACAAATAAACATCGTTCTCCCTCCATTCCAATCTAATTCTAGTACTTCATTGTGATGTGTAGGTGATCCTGGATTCTCCCAAGAATATGCCCATTGGAGTATAAACTCTGATAGGTCATAATAAGATTGATAGGCTTCAAGTATAGGCCCTCTGACAAACTATATGACAAGCCCTCAGGCTATAGAGAATAAGCTAAGTTCTGAGAAATTTTCCACTGAGGGAATAAATGTTTTCAGCTACAATGATTCATGAAGATGTGCTAATAAGTATGTAGATAGGTTAGAATAGGAACAGATGGAGTCAGGAAAATTAATTGGAAGGCTGTTGAAGGAGTCTAAGAGTTACAAAGTGCCTAGACTAAGGTGGTGTTAGTGGAAATGGAAAGAAAGGGAAAAGATTTGAAAGGAACAATCTAGCAGAATTTCAAATCATGCAATTACTGAAGAAAAACATGAATAACACTAATATAGTGATGAACTGAAGAATTATTGTTAATTTCATTTTATTTATCTGTTCTTAGATTGTACTTGAAAGTAATAAAACTGAATCTTTAACAATGTTACATAATTCAGACTTTTTACTGAAATAAGTCTGACCTCCCTACTTTATTAGCTTAGAATAGTGAGTTGTATAATATATACATACACATCTATTTAATACAACATCATTCTAAGGTTAAATGTGCTTCAAGAAGTGGGTGTTTTAAAACCAAAGTAATATTGAGGATCTCAAATTTGTTTTTGAGTCCTTAAGTTCTAAAACTAGTGGAGCTACATGACCTGGTATAAAAAGGCAAGATAGACATCACTAATGTGAAAATATGTTTAATATGAATGTAAATGTATAGCCTATATCAGATTGTGCGCCATCTTGGGGAGGGTGGTGGGGAGGAAGGGGGAGAAAAATTTTAAACTCAAAAGCATATGGAAGTGATTATTGATAAATCAAAATAAATTTGTTTTAAAAAAAGGCAAGATAGATTACAAGACCATCATTTTGCATTTTGCTTAAGAGATAGATGAAACAGTATGTAATATTTTGTTTTCTTTCCTTTCACATTCTCCTTCAGTCACCAGTCGCTGCGTCCTGAATTAGTGGCTGCTGCAACTGCTGTTGCTGATTCTCTTCCTTTTGGCAAACTGTCAGTCAAATCAGAGTTGCTGCGTCAATTGAGGAAACATGAGAAAGACTTCAGAGCACACCAAGGAAAAGAAACAGTTAAAATAAGGTCAGTAAGTTGAATGGTGATCTTTGTAATGGTACTCAAAGTAATCATTTTTTTCATTTGACTGATATGTGTCAACTATAGCTTAATATAAGTTTGTCTCAAAAACAATTAAAAATGCCACAAGTAAGACAGTTTCAACCATCAAAAGGCTAGTTTTTTAGAAATGAAAAATAGTAAGGTGGAAAGAAAACAGTAAGTCTAAGAACATTTTTTTTCTTTTTTTCTTTCTTTACTTCCTTCTTTTTAGTTTTCAACATTCACTTTTATAAGATTTTGAGTTCCAAATTTTTTCCCCCTTCCTGCCCTCCCCAAGACAGCATGCTATCTGATATAGACTATACATGTACAATCATATTAAAAATATTTCCACATTAGTCATGTTGTGAAAGAAAAATCAGAACGAAAGGGAAAAACTGTGAGAAAGAAAAAAACAACAACAAAAAAAGAGAAAGTAGTGTGTTTCCATCTGCATTCAGACTCCATAGTTCTTTCTCTGGACGTGGACTGCATTTTCCATCATGAGGCTTTTGGAATTGTCTTAGATCATGGTATTGCTGACAAGAGCTAAGTGTATCAAAGCTGGTCATTGCACAGTGTTGCTGTTACTGTATACAATATTCTCCTAATTCTTCTCACTTCCCTCGGCATCAGTTCATGTAAAATTTTCCAGGTTTCTCTAAATTCTGCCTGCTCATCATTTCTTATAGCACAGTAGTATTCCATTACATTCATATACCACAACTTGTTTGGCCTTTGCCCAATTGATGGGGAGCCCCACAATTTCCAATTCTTGGCCACCACAAAATGAGCTGCTATAAATATTTTTGTACATGTGGATCCTTTTCCCTTTTTTTGATCTCTTTGGAGTGCAGACCTAGTAGTACTATTGCTGGGCCAAAGGGTAGGCATAGTTTTGTAACCCTTTGGGTATAGTTCCAGATTGCTCTCCAGAATGGTTGGATCAGTTCACAACTCCACCTACAATGCTTTAGTGTTTTAATTTTCTTTCTTTTTTTTTTTTTTAGTGTTCTAATTTTCCCACATCCACTCCAGCATTTGTCATTTTCCTTTTCTGTCATATTAGCCAATCTGGTAGGTGTGATGTAGTACCTCATAGTTGTTTTAATTTGTATTTTTGAGTCTAATTAATAGTGATTTAGAGCATTTTTTCATATGACTATAGATAGCTTTAACTTCATCTGAAAACTGCCTATTCATATCTTTTGACCATTTATCAATTGGGGAATTACTTGTATTCTTATAAATTTGACTCAATTCTCTATATATTTTAGAAATGAGGCCTATATCAGAGACACTGGCTGTAAATATTGTTTCCCAGCTTTCTGCTTCCCTTTTTATTTTTGTATTTTTTTTCTGTTTCCCTTCTAATCTTGGTAGCCTTGTCTTTATACGAAAGCTTTTTAATTTAATGTAATCAAAATTATTCATTTTGTGTTTCATAATGTTCTTTATCTCTTGTTTGGTCATAAATACTTCCCTTCTCCATAGATCTGACAGGTAAACGGTTTGCTTCCATTATCACCCTTTATATCTAAATCATGTACCCATTTTGACCTTATCTTGGTCTAGTAAGATGTTGGTGTGTGCCTAGTTTCTGCTGTACTATTTTCCAGTTTTCCCATCAGTTTTTGTCAAATAGTGAGTTCTTATCCCAGAAGCTGGAGTCTTTGGGTTTATCGAACAGTAGATAGATTACTGTAGTCATTGACTACTGGAAGAAGAACCTCCATTTAAGGAAATATTCCTGTGAAAGGAAACATTTTTCTAAATGAAGTAGATTGCTGAATGTATACACTGCATGGCCAGTAAATTCTTCCTTGGCCTTCATAATCTTTGTCCTTATATTAATTACAGAATCTTTATGCTTAGCCTCTTGACATTCCCATAGCACAAAATTCTGAGTATAAATTGTGAAGAAACAGAAGCCTAATTATGATACACATATTTTCAAAGTTATGATAAAAAAAGTTAAGGTGAAGCATTTGCAGATTGAGGTGAAGAAGGTTAACAATAAGCATTTTGTGGAGGACTCTTTGGAAAACTAGGAATCAGACTTTACTGGAGGAGCTACTTGGTACTTGGCCAGTCTTGGTAGTTTCAGTTATATTAACCTATGAACATTTTTACTTCCTCAGTTTTCACTTATTAGTTCTTTTCTCCCTTTATGTGCTGTGTATATCAATTCCAACCCACTTTCTGAGGCAATTTCAAAGATAAACAGTAATAGATCTGGATTTCTGTCTAGATGTTCCACTGTCTTCTTTTTCCCCCCAGCTTAATAGTATTTTATTTTTTTCCAGTTACATGTAAAGATAGTTTTCAGAATTCATTTTTATAAAGATTTTGAGTTCCAGATTTTTCTCCCTCCTTCCCTCTCCCCACCCCAAGATAGCAAGCCATCTGATATAGGCTATACATGTGCAATCATATTAAACATATTTCTACATTAGTCATGTTGTGAGAGAAGAATCAGAACAAAAGGGAAAAACCACCAAAAAAAAAAAATGAAAATAGTCTGCTTTGATCTGTATTCAGACTCCACAGTTCTTTCTTAGGATGTGGATAGCATTTTGGAATTGACTTGGATCATAGTATTGCTGAGAAGAGCTAAGTCTATCATAGTTGATCATTGAACAATGTTACTATTACTGTATACAATGTTTTCCTGGTATTGCTTAGTTCACTTAGCATCAGTGCATGTAAGTCTGAAATCTGTCTGCTCGTTTCCCCTATCTTAAGCCCTGCTTATTCTCTTTTCTCTTTATTTTTACTTTCTGCCATGGTGATCTCATTAACTCCATGGCTTCAAGTATCTGTATTATGCAGATGACTCAAGTGTACATATCTAGTACTGACCTTTCTACTGAGCTCCATTCCTGTGTTACCAAATGCCTTGGAGTCTCTATCTGAATGTCCCATGAGCATCTCAAATTCAGCGTCTGCTAAATGCAGTTCATATTTCACCCAAAACCTATCCCTATACCAAATTGCCCCACTTATGTTGATGACATCACTATTATTCAACTCACCCAAATTTACACAGTTGGGGTCATGACTGAGTTTTCATTCTCCTATCCCTACATCCATTCAGTTGCTAAAGTTTAGTGATCCTACCTATACAGCATTTCTTATGCCCAACCCCTTCTCTCATCTCAGAGCCTTGAACCCCTACTTAGGCTGTTGCCACTTCTCTCTTGGACTCTTGAAATAGCTTCTTTATTGGTCTCTGTTCTTTTATTTTCTTGCCTTTCCAATTCATTATCCACCCAACTGACATACTGATATTCCTAAAAGAGAACTGACTGTCACCTCTTACAGAAAATCTTCAGTGACTCCCTCTGACCTTTAAGATAAACTACAAAATCCCCAGCCTTTCACCTTCCATAGTTCAACTTCTGCCCACTCTACCAGTCTTATTCCATATAGCTACCAATCATACACTCTCTGTTCCAGATATACTGACCTGCTAAGGTATTCAGCATATGTGACGTTCCATCTTTCATCTCTGTGCCTTTGTACAAGTGGTCTCCATGTCTAGAATTAATGACTGAATGAGCATTTATTAAATCCTTCCTATTTTCAGAGCACTGTGCTAGTTACTGGGGATACAAAAAGAAGAGCAAGGCAGTCCCGGCTCTCAAGAACTCACATTCTAATGGAAGATGATGGACGGTTTCAGCTATAAATAAATGGAAAGCCATAATGGTTTTCAAGAGTTTGGCAGCAAAGCAAATGATAGTGCATCTCCTTTAATGTCATTCCCATGGAAAAAATCATATTTGTTTCTGTTACTGGACCATTTGACAATGACAAAGACCTGGGCAGCAAGAACTTTCTTTTCCAAGTCTTCAGTAGCTCTGTCTGCAGAAGCATTCACTTCTGCATGAAAGTTGATCCCCTGGATGGTAGCTATGGGAACTGGGCTGGAAGCAGAATCAGTGGTCTCCGGTGGGGGGGGGGGGGGGGTCTGGAAGGGATGTTGAGGGGATAGGGTCGGGATCCTGGATTATCTCCACAAGGGCCTAAAGGAAAATTATGGTGAAAGTAGTGTTGGTATCTTAACTTGACTTTCCTGGCGTATGCCAGCCACCTCTCCTTCAGGGTACCTTGCTACTTCATCTAGGCCGGCACTTGTGCCCTGTGGTTAACGTGTGGTGGGGGGGTGGCTGGCCCTTTCTCCATGGAGGCTGTTTCTGTGGATGATTGCTGTAGTGGCTGAGCTGGAAGCAGGGCCAGTGTGTTGGTATGGAGAGGGGGCATATGCACAGGGCACTGTGCTGCCAGGGGCTCTTGGGTTTACCTTCTGTTGGTGTGACCCTCCCTCTCTTCATGTTGTTTTAACAAATCCCTAACTTCTTTCAAATCACAGCTTAGCTACCACCTCCTACGTGAGGCTTTTGTGGACACCCTCCCCAACCCAGTTATTAGTTCCTTTTCACTCTCTCTCTCTCTCTCTCTCTCTCTGTTTCTGTCTCTCACTTTGTTTTACTTGGTATATGTGTTGTATATTTGTATGTGTGCATGTATCCCCCCAGTTCAATGTAACGTTCAAGAGGGTAGTGGCTGCTTTGTATTTGTATCTCTAGTGCCCAGGGCCTTTCTTATAATAGGCCCTACATGCTAATTGAATTAAATTGAATTATCTCACGTCAACTTGGTCCATTTGCTGAGTGACATTGCTTCGATTTAGATATGCTTTAAGTTATTCTTGAAGGGTTTCTTTTGCCAGGCTTATTGATGGCACGTTACAGGAAGGCAACTATACAACTGCAGTGGCTTTCTGGTGTTTTATCAGTCCAGCCCCAAATACAGAAGTGTTAGTGATGATGTTATTTAAATAGGACCGATGTATTTGACAGACTTCCTCTTACTTGTATCCTAAAGCTGCTTCTGAGCCTTCCGCAAAGTTGACAGGATTTCTCACCTGTTTGCAGTTGGGCACATTCAGTCAGGAGTTAGGTGTTGGATCCCTGGAGCTG